ATAAGTGTCGATACATTGAGTGAAGATCCTAGGGTGTTTCATGAGCTGATTGCATGGCAAGGGTGACTGCAAGGCAGAGCAGTTCCAGAAGGACGGGATGGTTTATCCTTTGGGATTTATTTTCTAGTGATAGAGGGGTGTCTCCTTTAGGAAGAGGTTTGCTTTATGTCATAATTCACTGTGTAGGTCCTACCTGCAGGTGCAAAGTGTTTAATACAAACGAGCAAAGACTCTGCTGGGGATGGCAGAGTCTAAATTGGGTGGATGCCATGCACACAAGCAGCAGAACAAAAAGTGTGAATGGATGGTGGAGCGGCCGGCCGGTTCTTAGGGCAGGAGGCCCTTAGGACAGGACAGACAGATGGGTCTGGTGGTGGCACAAGCGAGGGATGGAGAAGGGATGCTGTGCCATGGAGCAGGTCCAGGCAAACGGCAGGAGCGGGTGAGGGAGCTTTGCTAGGATCTACCTGTGTGCAGAGGGAGAGGTGGAAGGGAGATGGACTGGGACGGAGCAGGAGGAAAAGGCTGCTCCAAGGGTGGAGACACCGTGAAGAGACAAGATAGTGCTGAAAAAAGAGGAGCCAGGAAGCGTGTCTGTCCTGCGCACATGCTGGAGTGTCCTTTCCCTCTGGGATGTGAACTCAGGAGTGACCATGTTAGCATCAGCCAACGCGCATCTGCATCTTTCCTTGAATCCCTGAGTATAACAAATGTCCCTGCCAAGACAAATTATTCCTCTTAAATTTATTTGGAAGGGCAAAATGCCTGATTTTGGAAACATGTTGTTTCTTGGTGTTCCTGTTCTGCGTTACTGCTGTGTCGATCACTGCTGAGCAGGTCTAAGTGATGAGAGGGACCCCTCGCAAACCCGGGGCTCACTGGCACAGGCACTTGTCCTTGTTGGACGTGACTGTGATCATACGTGTGGTTCTGCTTTCCTTTTGCACATGTTGCTTCCGCAAAAACCCACAACCAGTCTGTCCCGGAGAAGGAAAGAGAATGCTGGATGCATCTGTCTTTCCTTTAATATGTGCATGGGAGATAGTTTGGGCAGAGGGCTGAACTCTTCCCCTATTTCTAGCTACAAGGTCATCTTTGCACCTGTAGGCGCCCCAGCTCTGTCTGGTATTTGCAGTATTCCCCACTAATTCCAGTCTCATTTACAGTCTAATCCAATGTGGATGTGCAAAACCACATAAACCGTCCAAAGAGACGGCCTTGCGGGCTCCGCTTTGGGTCTCACCTGTTAGTGGCCGTGCTCAGCTGCGGCTCGTGGATCCACATGGGATTGCAGTGAGAGGAATGGGCTGGGCAGGGTTCCTGGGAGCCGGCCAGGGCGGACGCGAGCGGTGCTGTGTCCGCACGCTAACCGAAAGCAACCAGAGCACCGGAGCGGAACTAGGCAGCGCACGGACACGCGCGGCCTCCTCTGCCACCCTCGTGCCCGCAGCTCAACCCGTCCTTGCCCAGGGAGGCAGCGGTGCCAGCGCCGGCACCGTGATCCAGCGCTGAGCCCTGTTCCTGTCCCCTGTCCCGCAGGCCCATGGCTGGGACTGGCTTTGCTGTTGCTGTCACGCTGGTGCTGCCAGCCTGCAAATATGTAATAAATGCTGAGAAGCTCTATAAAAGTTGGCTGTTGTTGTTATGGCCAGGCCCTTTCTCGCAGGCTTTGCTTTGTCGCTGCGGGACTAAGTCCTCAGAGGGGTTTTGGGTGGCCGCGGGGAGCAGCGCAGTGTCGGCATGACCCAGACGTCTGTCACCCTGTGGCCTTTGTAATAAATAGTCTGAGTGGGACCAGAGCAGAGTGTCAGCGTTGCGGCTTAGGGACGAGGCCACTGTCCCCAACGCAGAGGAGAGGAGGGCGATGGACGCAGGGAGCTGAGCCCAGGCTCGTCGGAGCAGCAGATACGAGCTCTTCTTGCCTTGCCAGCAGGACAGCGGCAACTCCCGCCCTGTCCTTGCACTGAGCCCCGTCCTCTTTCACTCCCTGCGGTGACTTGTAGCCACCGGCACTTGGCTGGTCCAAGCCCAGCAGCTCATGGGGACCTGCAGCATCATTGCAGCGGCCACGGGGACATGCAGCATCATTGCAGTGGCCATGGGAGCCCACAACATCATTGCAGTGGCCGTGGTCTCTCCCAGCAACTGTTGTCCATTTGCCTGTGGGAGGTGAGTTAGTTAAGCTCCACACAGCAGCCTGCTCAGATCCATCAGCTTCTCCAGGAGAAAGGAAATCTCCAGCTACCAGACAGGGGCATCCAGCAGATTAGTGTTATCAGGAGCTGCCATGTAACGTCCAGCGCCCTCGAGCAGCAACTCTGCCTTATTGCCATCACTGGGAAATGGCAGAGCCAGGCAGGCGCTCTCGGCACCCCGTCTTTGGTAACGCATCAGCCCGAGCCCCACTCTGTGCCCTGCTAGCGGAGACGGGCAGTCGTGAGCACCACATCAGCTCCCAGACCCCTTCTGGGATGTCCCTCTTGGGAAAGGATCCTTCTGCCCACAGGAGCTGCTGCTCCTCTCCTGGCAGGAGCCGGGTGGCTGCTGCTCTGGGTGGGAAGTGCCCGCTGTGGTCTGTGCCTGTTCAGCAAGTGTTTGGTAGGGAGGATTTTACTGCCATGTGATGAATCTACTGCGGTGGGGTTGACAGGATGGGTCTCTCCCTGGGGAGCTGTCTCTGTCCCCGGGGGCCATGGGAGAAGATGTTTTGGGCTGTGGTTTCCCTGCCTGGGAGACAGGGAGTCGCGGGACGAGCTCGTGAGGGCTCCGCTCGGAGCTCCCTGTGCCGGGGGCTGCGCTGGAGCCCTGTCCCCGGGATCACCAGGACTCTGACACCGCGTGCACAGTCCACTCTGACCCCCCAGCTCGGCAAGCGCAGGAACATCCCCCTTGGCCCCTACCAGATTATAGAGGAATTAATCACGCTGATTATGTACTACCAAAAAAGGAGGTGCTCGCGCTCTTTCGAGCGCCCTCCAACCTCCCGCTTGCAAGCAGACTTAAAATTGCTGTTTTCTGCCTCATCACTTAGCCTGTCTGGGTGTTTCAGGAGCTGTAATAACTCTGGATGAAAAGGCAAGGAATGACAGCAATCCCAGCCAGCTCGCCTTGCCGAGAAAGCGGGGAGATAACGCGCCAGCGCCGGCAGGGAGGTGCAGCACGTCGCTGGCAGCCGGGACGGCGTCGCGGAGCGGGACGGGCTGCGGCAGAGCCGCTCTGCAGCCGCTGCCTGTCACAGGGCCCTGCACAGCGTTCTCGGCTCCCCGTCAGGTCACACTGTTGCCAGTCCTATCAATTGGGATTGATGCCCTGAACGTAACTCATTCCCCACACCCCGAATTGGGTGGCTGTGTGTATTTATATATATCTGCTACCTTATAAGGGTTTCACAACAGCATTTCCATCACTTTCCATTGCACCTGTAACGTATTTGGACTAAAGATGCTCTTGTCTGCAATCTGCATTTCTCTGATGTGCAATAGGAGCAATCCTGATATACTGGCTGACTTTTGTCAGTCCAAAAATTCCTCCAGAGTATTTTTGTAACAGGGCAGGAACTGCAACTTTCCCCTTTCTTCTCTTTCTTTCTTTCTTTTTTTTTTTTTTTTTTGTTTTGTCTTAGAGCACTACCTGATACCAACCTGAATCTTAAAAAAAATAAGTCTCATTTAAATAGCTTATCAGATATCAGAGGACTGCATTAAAGGTTGTAACTCAAAGTGAATTGGTGTTTGGAAGCTGCTAACTGCACACTTAATCGTCCACACAAAAATAATGTGGCTTTGAATGTGCCGTCAGTGTTTGCTCCGTTATGTCCCGAGTGGGAGATACTGGGAGCCTCTGGAAACACGTCTGTGAGAGCACTGGGAAAGCAGGTCTCCACAAGCCCTGCGGGAACGGCGCAGCTGGGGACCCGGTGTTTCACCTTCCCTTTATTTTAAGGTGCCATTTCGCTGTTTGAAGTCAGCTTCCTCCTCGACAGCCAGCAGCTGGGCTGCAAAGCAAGCCTCTCTCTCAGCATGAAGATCACAGGGTCCCGGGCGCGAGGCATCCGAGGAATACAACAGCCGGCGCCGGATTCCTCGGATTGCTGCATGGAGCGAGGAGGGCGCGTTGCACAAGGAGGGGAGTGGGCACAAGGCGCTGGGCTGTGATGGAGGAAACATCCGTGCCTTTCCTAGCACTGCTGCAAGGAGAGCAGATCCGCAGCCTGGGCGAGGAAAGGAGCCCGTGGACCAGCTGTGTTGTTGGCTGGAGAGCCGCGGGATTTGGGATAAAATGCATCCCCACAGGCTGGGCGGAGGGCACACGTGCTGTTAAGCTGGCACTGGCTGGCACTGTTACGCGACCGTGTCCTTGTTCCCATCACCGGCCTTGTGCCTTGAAGCCGTGGCGGGCGATGGGGTGGGATGGAGAAGGTCTGCATGGTGCCCACCGTGACTGCTGCAGCTGCAGCTTTTCCACTCACTGGCTTTCACTGCCGGGGCCACGAGCCTGCGCCGAGGGCGGCTCTGGAAAACTCCATGTGCCACAGGCCACCGCCAGGCCTCGCTTCCTCAGGGTGCGTGGCTTTAGCTGCCCCTCTGAGCAGGGGCTCCAGCGCTGAGCAGCGCGGTGGCAAGCCCATTCGCAACCCCTGTGCCTAACGCGGCCCCTTTTGCAAACATGCCCTCCCTGTTTCCTTGCACAGCTAAGTGCAGCTTTCACAGGCACGTGAGCCTTTAGCATTGGTGCATCTTGTTTGCTGAAAACGCTGCACTCACCCCCGAGCGCTGGGTGTTGGGCCCAGCGGGCAGGCTGTGCGCTCTCCCCGCTCAGTCCTCAGGGCCGCTCGTGTGGGCGGCCTGCAGCGCGCTGCCTCTTCAGAGCCGTCCTGGGGGCTTCAGCAGAAGAGCTTCTGTCTGGTTGTGCCAAATGGGCTGATTTAATTTTGTTGCTGGTGCTCGAACCAGGCCATGTCAGCTGGGATGGTACTGACTGTCACCCCGGTGTCTCTGCAGGACGACACATGCCAAAGCCAAGGCTGACGGGTCCGAGCAGGCAGCCCAGGCCGCTAACAACGAGTCGGGCATAGCCAGGATGATGGCCAGGGAGCTCTCGCCAGACTTCTACCAGCCAGGTAAGATGAGCAGCATCTGGGAGGGCTTTCACTATTTCCTCAGGGAATCTGTTCAAACGCTTCCCCTGCTTTATATCCCAACGGGTTTCCCTCCTGTCTATCCTAAATCTGCTTTCCTGCAAGCTCGGGTAATTCCCCTGCACATGGAGTGCAAACGATTGCTCTCCTTACACCAAAGTTTTACCTCTTGGAATATGTCAGCACAACCTTCAGGAAATCCCACAACCTCTCCCTATATTCCCCATATCTTTTACACATTTCAGCTGGCTCCAGGTCCTCTCCAACCTGTGCATGGTGAAATCTGCCCCTGACCTGGGCAGCTGGGTCGCGAAGCCTTCCCAGCATGAGGCAGGCAGGCCATGGGCTCAGCTCTTATCTCTCTCCAGCTCTCCTGCTGATACGTCCCATGAGCAGACGTGGCTTTTTCTTGGAACAGCTCTGAACAGCTGACTCATATTCCTCATCCTGTGGGGCTCCACACTGCGCCAGGGAATGATCAGACTGAGCTAATTAATGTCTTTTATCTCCTGTAAGAAAGTTGCTTATGCAAAATACTATTTTCCTGAGTTCCTATTTGTTCAATAGCATCATTGCTAATAATTTGTCTGGGAAAACAGTTGCGAGGTTCCTTCTATGAGATCAAGCAGTGAGCTTTAGCAGATAAGAAATATAATATTAGAAGCAGCATTATGAATTATCTTCCCCTAGGCCTAGCTAGCTAGAGAGATGTTCCTCCTGGAAAGTTTTCTTTCTAGAAAGTAGTAATAGAGAGGAGCAGAGGGTTCCAGATGCCTGTGTCTCCATCCTGACTTTCTTATTATCTGCTTTTGTTACTTGAGTGCCTGCCCTGACGCTTCTGTAGCAGGATCTCAACAGGCCACAGGATGATGCATTAGCCAGTGGTGAAACTGGGGCAGGATCCCACCCTTGTGATTCCCACGCATCCAAATTTGTTGCTTAGTCCTTCTTGATTTCAGTGCCTCCAGGTCTCTGGTGCACGGGGTGCTAACAGGGCACCCAGTGGGAAAAGCGACTGACTCCCAGCACGGAGAGAGTCGTGCTTAGAGATTTGCCCAGATTCCTGCCTTGTCCTGTGTTCGCAGCGCTGGATGTCTCCCTGGAGACCGGCCTGCGCCTCCCGCGCACGGCGAGCGCTGCCGGGGCTGGCCGCGAGCCAGGAATCGCTGCAGCCCCTTGGCACGTGTGCGAGCCAGCGTGGGACACCTCGCTTAACAATGGCTAACGTCACTTGATCCTGACATAAGCCCCTCAGCTGTCACTCATGGCTCCACGTTCACCCTTTGCATTCTGTGGTATTTATAACGCAGAGGCAAAGGAAACTGGAATTCCTGATGGGAGGTTTTTGACATACAGCTAGATTACTTTTTCCACCCATGGCAATTCAGTGAGACGACTGAAGTGGTCTTTGCAAAATGCCTGTACCAACCTGTCTTCAGCTTTTTCTGCTAAGGTGCCTGAATCCATTCACAGTTTTTGTGCACAGGTTCACTCGAGTCCAGGCCTCTTTCAGTTGGCCATGTAATCTGCTGGTGCACAAATTTTTCTCCTATGATTCTTTTTAACCTCAAAAATCTACTATGTGATCAAAGCTCAACTAAGAGAAATGCATCTTCCTGGAAGGCTGCATCATCCATGATAAAAAATGCAATAATCCACCAGGAGGCTGTTCATCTCACAGTCAGGAGAGCCTAATGGTGTTGGGCAGATACATTCCCCTGGCTCTCCCCATATTTGCTACAAGACAAGGCCCATTCGGCCAGCCTCAGCTCTTTCGTAAGCATTTAGCCCTGTGTTTCATTTAGGATACTAACTGTAGCAATTTAGGCAGGAACAATGTGAGCCCAGGTCCTCACTGAAATGCCGTGGTTGGAGGTGGAGGCGGCGAGGCACAGGATGGGGACGGGAAGAGGATCAGGGCTGTGCAGTGCCCTCCAGGAAAGCATTTTTTTTTCTGGTGTGAAATATTTAGGAGGAGAAGAAAGCACCAGCTGATAGCAAGGAGCCAGGAGCTGCAGGCAGCCTATTTTGAGGAGACTGAACAACTGTTGAAATGGCTTCCAAATAATCTATTTGCAGCCAGAAATAAATGGCCCTGAATGGGTCACCTCCTGATTGACGAGAGCGTGCAGGCAAGGGAGAGAGGCTAAAATAAATCCCCCACTTCTTCCCACTGCCCCTCCAAGGGGAGGCAGTGCCCATCAGCAGCATGCAAATCACACCATTGATTTATTGGAGGGAATGAAGCACCCATCTCCAATTTCCAGACCCAGCTCAAGTCCTGGGGAATGGAGGGGTGAGGGGAGTAGCTGCCAGGCCCCGGGGACAGCACTGCCGCGGTCTGTGCCATTCAGGAGCTCAGACCAAGCCCCGTGCTTCTGCCACCCCCTGCGCTGCTTGGGCTCAGCAAATTTGGCCAATGACATTTTCAAAAGTCGGTTCTTTGTTTTCAGACATGCTGCTCTGTGATGCCACCTTGTCCCTAAGGAGTAAGGAGCCTGTGATCATTCCTTACTGCTGCTGTTTGTTATGGGCACTGCAGGACACCAGGGCCCTTGTCTTGGTGCGGGTTCCTCTGCACAGCACACTGCTTGCAGCATGGTTTGCCCAGTTTTTTGGGTGTATTTTGCCTCCCAACCAGCCTCTAGCCAAATGCCAACATGCTCGTGGTGGCAGAGGGGACAGAGGCACTGGACCACGCAGCAGTCGCTGGCACCACAGGGTCCCACCAGCTCCTGTCCCATCCCATGGGGCCAGGAAGGGGAGAGCTGCCATCTTGCCCCCAACTCAGCACGTCTTGGGGCTGAGCCGGCACTCCAGCTCTTACTGAGCGTCTGTCTTTCCCTTCCCAGGCCCCGAGTACCAGAAGAGGAGGCTGATGCAGGAGATCATGGAGAACGCGGAGCACCCCGTCAACATGGAGGAGGAGGTGCCGCGCGCGCAGGGCGCCCCGCCGCCCCCCACGCCCCCGGAGAGCCCCCAGCTCC